TTCTTGCCTTTTGTAATCCAAAGGAGGTGGTGTTAACACTAAAATAGATAAAGCTCTAATTTCTTCAAAGATATCTGTTTTCTTGGTTTTCAATAAATTGAACTCAACAAAAGGTCCATTAGCAACTTCTTGAACTTTCACTATACCAAAATTAGATGCTTCAAAAAGAAAATGTTGATATTTCTGGATGCTTGGTAATTTCTTAAAATAAATTCCCAAAATAGCTTTAATATCTAAGAATTGAAAACCTTTTCCACCTTCATAAATCTGTTCTTGGACTCAGTTTGAATCTCTGATCTTTTGGATAATTTTGGTCAACTAGTTTTCTTTGGTTTGGACACCATTACAAAAATGTTGACAATTATCATATAAATCTGTTCTGGAACTCATAATTTGAATTTCTGGTGTCAGTTCATGTCATAACTTTCTGAATGTATCAAGGACTTCAAACTACTATCTTCTTCCAGACCAGCAAGAAATCTCTGTGCACTGATTTATAACTCATTTCTGCTGGTAAGAATGTAACTGATTGGTTATTTTATTTATGTTTTTTCCTTGACTTGGTAATCCATGAACTTTGGCATAATTTTCCAGAAAATTCTTTACAACCTCTACATTTTTTGTCAATCAACACTCTGACAAAAATTTAACCTTCACTGTTTTCGGGTCCTTGTCAAACAAGAATGCAAAGTTGTTGACTATTTTTGTATTATCTCATGCCAACAGCACATTTATTTGTTTTAACAGTTTACAATATAATACATAAAAGTTCCTTCGCATCTTCAGATACAAAATGAAATATTAATGTAATCAATTTTTTAGAGGCAATATAAATACTGGCAGGATTTAGTAGAAATTAAAATTTTAAACAGTTTACCCTCGCTCGACTTGATAGTTTTTTTACATCATGAGAGTTTCGATCATGCACTTTTTACACAATAGAAGTATAATCTTCCGACTCGAAAATCAAAAAAAAAAAACAAGCCATTAAAATATCGATTTCTGTAATTCACTATAATATTAATTAGATCATCTCTACTTTTTTTATGATAAAGATACGTTTTTTAGCTTGTAATCTAGTTATATTCACATATATATTAACAGATTAAATTTGTTTTTGAATAAATAGTTACTTGATAATAAAAATAAAATAAAATATTTTTTCTTTTTATCTCTATATTAGTGGTGGTGATGGTATACACATAAGACAATAATTGATCATTATTATTAATAATCATGTGCTTGTCTGTCATAATTAGCACCACCAGCTTTTCTAAGTTGTGTAATAATCTCTCTTTCGCTCAACTCTGATTTCTCATGTGCATTAACTTCTATAGCATATGCCTAAAAATAAATGAATTAATAATATGAATAAATCAGCCAACCAACCAATCAATCCCAGTCAATGACATATCAATAAATGTATACAACCTGAAGAACTCTCTTGACATCCGAAACGTGAACTGATAATTTTGCCTTTCTCATTATTTTGACATTGCTTCCGGTCCATGTCACAAAAATAAATTTAGTACGTACCGACAATTCATCATTTGACACGTTGACACGTACCTAAAAAAAGGGCTAATGTTACCAACCAATTGAACCTCATTCAGAAAATTTAAGATGTCATTTAGATTTAAAATGATTCTCTAACTCACATATGCAAATCCTGCTTCCGATTCATTAAGATTTTCAACAAGTTCGCTTAGTCCTCCTGTTCCTTTGGCTTTCAATATTAATTTATCAGATTTGTTGGATTCATATTCTAAAAGTAACCTATAAATATATATAAAAAAATTTTTGTACATGTATATATAGATTTATTATTATAAATTTATATTTATTTTTACTTACCAATTGGTTTCATTTTTATCATTTCTAACTTCTTCATACGTTTCTCCTAAAAAAATTATTATATTATATTGAGCCAAAAAACAAATAATAAATCATCTTTATTTTTTATTTATCTATTAATTCCAGCAATAATTCTAATACATACTAATGCTTGGTTCTGTCATATCAGCCATATCGTAATTCAAAATAAAAAGTTATATATTATTATAAATATAATTACAATTTCACAAAATCTATCTCTAAATAAATAAATAAAAAGAAATAACCATCGGCAACCACCTCCAATAAATATTATAAATACTTGTTAATTGACAAATTTATTATTAAATTATTAGATTATTCATATAAAAATCAAAAATACAAACCAAAAAAAATTAAGGTGCAAGCAATAAAAAGAGAAAAGTAATGAAACCTTTCCTTTCACTTTTGTAATTTCCATTAAAAGAACAACAAGTGACGATCAAAAATAGAGACAAGTCTGTCATGTGTTTATACACAAAGCGAATATATTTGTAATAAATAAATAAACTAACTAATAAATTAAATTATTAATAATAATCTCAATGTCTTCTGATAATATATTTAAAAATAAATGAAAAAGGGATGGAATATGGTTTTCACTAATAAAAACAACATATATAGTATATGTGTGAGTGTATATGTAAAGGAAGTTTCTAATTATATAAAAGTAATCAATTACATATATTTAATCAATAAAAAAAAAATCATAGAAAAAATAATTCATATAATAATGAGTGGTAAATTAATAACGAATGGTATTAATGATGTTTATTTGCAACATTCATTATTGCCACCCTTTGCATCAATTGGTACCGTATTGGACCCAATTCTAGATTGACCTCCAACCTTAATACCATGCGCCTGGATGAAAATTAAAAATACTCATTATCACTATTATTAACTTTCAAATGGAATTATAATAATAATTGTACAAAAAAAAATCTATGTAAACCTCATTTGTAACATCAAATATTGATTCTTTGATTTTCCTATAAATATCTTGAGCTGGAATATTAAATGCCTGTAATAAATAAATAATAAATAATAATTAATTGGTTATTTAATTGGAAGTAAATGTAATTATAAATTTTTATTACCTTTTCAACATTTTCTGCAGTTTTTGCAGAAGCTTCTATAAAAAATAAATTATTCTGCCTGGCAAACTTTTCACCTTCCTCATAAGAAACAGCACGTTTAGTTTCAAGATCCTTCTTATTACCAATAAGCATTATTGTAGTGTTAGAATTGGAGTGCTGACGAGCATCCTCCAACCAAATATGTAGATGTTCAAAAGTTTCACGTCTTAAAATAAAAAATAATCAATATATATTTATATATTTTTCCAATATAAGATTAATTAATGGATACCTGGTGATATCGTAAACTTTAAATTTATATACATATATATTTTTAAAAAAATAAATTTAGTAAATGTTTAATATAAAATTATTATCACAATAAATAAAACAAACTTTAGATGAAATTACCTAACAAAGCACCAGCTGCACCACGATAATAACTCCTCGTTATACTTCTAAAAGATTCTTGCCCGGCCTAAAATTATAACAATATAACTCAACATATTATTCATCAATACATGAAGAATAAAAATATATAACTTTACCGTATCCCAAATTTGAAGTTTAATTTTTTTATCCTCAATCTTGTCAAAAATCAAAATTTCTCATAATATTAAAAGCTCAAAAGTAGAAAAACACAATCATTATTTATTAAAATAATATAAATAAAGCTTACTGTAACAAGACGTGCGCCAAATTCTACACTGATAGTGATTAAAATAGTAAATCTTTCTTTAACAATAATAATTTTTGAATTTTTTTTATTCCATAAAAGATGCTAAAATGGAAATAAATTAAATAACTCACCCAATTGTCAAGTCGTGAGATTGTTGGAAACGATGATCCGTAAATTGTAACAACAAACAAGACTTTCGTTATATAATAAAAATATGATTATGAAATAGGTTATGAATCGTAAATATACATATATAATTATATAATTATCACAGATCGACTTTATTAATTAAAATTTAAAATTTAATGAAATCTTAATTCATGAAAACTTCATTAGATGTATTTCATATCATTCAAGGAAACATCTTTATCTATGATTTACCTTTCCAACACCTTCAAAGATTAAAAAACAATGAGTAAATAAAACTCATCAAGAATTTTTTAAAAAAGCCAACACATATTTTTAAGGTTTACCTGTATCACCGATTATAATATACTACATTAAATTTTTTCAAAGAATTGTCAAAATTTAACGAATTAATAATGTTCTAAAATTTTAAAAAAATCAATAATAGTAAGCAAACCTTAACAATATAGTCATATGTGAAATTTGACGATAATGATGCCATTTTTAAAAAATATTTAAATCAATTAAGGATAAGTTATGATATGCCACAAAACTGCTTGCTTATAATTTATTCTAATTACTGATATTATATCTTTTGTTAGAATTACGGCAATCAAAATTCGAAAAGAGTGAGTGGGAGTGGGGAGTCAATAATTATTATGAATTTTGTTCCTTTTTTAAAAAAAACCCCCTTTTTATATATCTTGCTTGCTGCACGTGGGCTTTTGGATCTCTTCGTAATACGATTCATATCAATTTTTAAGGGTAGGAGAAATCACGTGATTATTTAATACAAAATCCGGGGACCAAAATTTGACTTTTCCAAAATCAATAATTGTCTTAAAGGCGAAGCTACATGAGACGCATTCAAATAACTCCTGTGTTATTCTATACATGTATTCTGCTGTGTAGTAGTTATTGAAATTGATTTTGAATAAAATCTTCTTTTAAAATTCTTCAAAAAACAAAACTCATCCCTAATTAGAGAAACCCATCCCATAACTCATCCCATATTAAAAAGAACTCATCCCATATTAACATATACTCATCCCTTAGTAAAAATTTATTATTATCATAGTAATAGGAAAACTTATTGGACATTTTGTGATGATCAACATTGAAACCAATAAAAAATTTTTTTGATCCATGATTTACTATTGATTTATCACGTGATTCCCCCTACCCTTAATTAAAGTTAATTGGCAATCGGGATTTTTTGTTAAAGAATTATACACATATTATTATTGTTATTGTTATTATTTTATTAAGGAATATGGATATTATATTGTTATGCTATATTGTGGGGAATATAATCATATTATTATTATATTTATAGTATTTATAATCAAAGAAGTTATCTTTAAATTATGATCATACTTTCCAGGAAGTCTATAGGCTTCCATACAATATATAGCTTATATATTCATTTATTTTCTTATGATTTATATTTATATTTTAAGAATTGTATTTTTATTATTTAAAGAAGTAAAATTCAAACAAATAAAGATAATTTTTATATAATTTTACAACAATAAAATTATCAGTTCATTAACACTGTTAAATAAATATCTGAATGTTTTTAAATAATTGTGATAATTATTAGAATGTTTACAGATAGACTGGCCCGGACACCAAGATCTTGATTGAATAAAATACAAACAATATTAAAGAGTTCTGAGAAGTAAACAATGATGTCAGTGGCTGTAAACAAATAAAGCCATCTGAACAAAAAGGTATTGAAGGAATGGAATGATGTAATATTTGTCAAACATTAGTAATAAAAACAAAACAATGACTCATCAAAGATAAAGAATTGTAACAAAAGCAAAGGTCAGAAGGAATAAACAGAGTGACAAGATAAGATAGAAACATGAAAAATCAATTAGTGAGAAATTTCTTATAAAAAGACAGAGTATTCAACCAAGTGGAGAATTAACTTTATATAGATCACTGAAATGTTTAATTTGAAAATTTTATTAATTTATAGTTTTGTTAACTGACGAAAAATTTTTCTTGGATTACAACACATAGTAAATTGATATGAAATCAACACCTACATGTCCTTGTGGATATACATGATATAAAAAAATAATGGCATCGAAATTCATGAAATAGGCTTCTGGAACACCTTGTGGCTATAAACTTGATAAATTGTCTCAGAAAAAACAAGTTTTGTCCCTAAAAAATTATGCAGAAATCACAAAGGTACTGCAACTTCAAAAGATTCTGACAAATTTTAAAGTATATTTGAAAAAATTTACATCATACTGATAAAAAAGCACCAATTAATCATGTTGATTGTGCAAAGTAATTTCCAAATGTAATAATAAATTTTATTATAGTGTAATTCTAAGTTTCAATGACATAATAGATTGAAAATAACAAAATAAAACTAATCTTTTTTTATTTTTTTCATTAGTCATATTATTTTTATCTTTTGGATTTGTTCCAGCATAAAGTTGATTAAAAAAACCTTTTAATGCTGGTTCAGCTTCTTCTAACATTTATTAAATTCATCAGGTTCTAAAATGGGTTTTTCATTATTCACCTTCTGTCTTATATACAATAAACCTGCCATTAATTTGATTTTTTTATTAAGAGGCATCGTTTCTAAAATAAAGCAAATAAACTAGTTAAATATAATTATTGACAATAAAATAACAACAATTTATTTGGTAATTTATTAATTTATTAAAAAAAAATAAGATATATATTTTCATTTTATTCAATAATAAATAACATTATTATTTTAGTATATTGGTGTGTAAACAATTAGAAGAATAATTAATTACTTACCTAACTTTGCTTTCTCAAGTTCTGCGCACACTTCATGATATGCAGACTCTAATTGTTGAAATTCTTCCTCAGAATAAAAAATATCATCACGTAAAGCATATGTTTTATTTTGAAATTTCTGAATTTTTTCATTTGATTTTTTTTGAGCTGGTGATTGATAATTAGGTGAATCTAAGTATTCTGGATCATTGTCAGTCTTATACAAATAGTGATGACACATCATTGCTGTCTCTAATAATTTAAAATAATTAATTAATTGCCCAGGTGCCTTCTGGAATAATATTCTTTCTTTTTTTTGTGCTCTAGAAAGATAAATATCATGCTTTGGATGGGAACAAGTGCTAATTATTTTGTTTTTAGCATTAACAATTAATTTATTATAATGCCTTCTACATAATGCTTTTCCAATCAAATTTATATGTTTGTTAATATCTGGAATAGTAACTTTATCAGATACTATGGAAGCATTATTAATTTTATAATCACAGATAATGTCACCTTGGCCTTCTAAATCACAATATTGTACTTTTCTCCTCTTATCTTTACGTTCATCACTGGAGGGTGCTTCTTGAGATGAGTTTTGTATGACATCCATTTTCTGTAAGGCGAGTTGCTTAAAATGTAGCTATATATTAAATTATATATTAAATTAAGTATATAAATTTTCTATTGCAAAAAAGACTACTATAACTAACTTCAGAATTACTTCACCTTTTAAAGAATCACTTTGGCAGTCTATAAAATAGAAGGTGAAAAATCAGAATATATTGTTGTTATTGCCGCAAAATTGATTTTGGTGACGCAAAGTCAAAATCAGATGACGGTCAGTTTGTATATGAAACATGTGTAGTGTAATTAATGCCGATCATTTCTTAAAATTGAATACCCGCTATGTTTGATTTAATCGCGCTACAACAGATTCACATGATATTCGTTTAACATTTTTTACTATTATCATATGTCCTGTTTTTTTGGATCATTGATTTGTTTAATAGCATTATGCATTATAATTGGATTTATTATTCGGTTACTTTTTTTAATTAATTGACAATTGAGTTGATTATTATTACTGAAAATAAAGCATTGTGCATTTAATTAAATTGACGATTGAATTGATTATTTGTTTATTACTAAAAATACTTTGATCACATCTATAAATTCATTTTGTAAAGCTGGGTTGCAAAGCTGCGTAAATCTTGACTTTAACACTTACTTTGATCAAACTTGGCCATATAATTATTGAATAATTGATAAAACGTTCATTTTGCAAACTCAATTTGCAAGTTTCATAGATCTTGACTTTAACACTTACTTTGATCGAACCCGTCTATATGAATAATTGATAAACATTCTCTTTGCAAACTTCATAAACACTTACTTCGATCAAGCCTGCCTATATGATTATTTAATAATTGACAAAGCATTATTAAATATATTCTACAAAGAGCTTCATAGATCTCGACTTTAAAAATTCCACCTATATGATTATTGAATAATTGATAAACATTCACTTTGCAAGCTTCGTAAATCTTGATTAGCATTTATTTCAATCAAACCCACCTATATGATTATTTAATAATTAATAAAGTGTTCATTAAATATATTTTACAAACAGCTTCGTAGATCTCAACTTTGACATTTACTTCGATCAAATCCGCCTATATAATTATTGAATAATAAAACGTTCATTTTAGAAAACTTGATTTGCAAATAGATCTTGATTTTAGCACTTATTTCGATCGAACCTGCCTATATTTGAATAATTGATAAAACATTCATTAAATATATTTTGTAAACAACTTCACATATCTTGCCTTTAACACTTATTTTAATCACTCTTATACAGAATATTGAATAATTGATAAAACGTTCATTTGCAAAACTTGATTTGCAAACTTCTTGATCTTGTATTTAACACTTGCTTTGATTGCGCTTATACAAACTATTGAATAATGGTAAGCTATGAATATTATGCAAGACCAATTTTATAAACTGCTAAAAATTCATATGAAACTGAATTATGAAAATTGAAAAGATGGTCAATATTATCAAGATTCTTGCATTTTACATTGTCTTTTATATGCGTTTGGGTATCTGTTTGCTATTATCCTAGCGAACAAACAAGAAAGG